CAAAGTAATAAATGTGAAGTGGTTATAGGAAGCAGAGAAACTAGCAAAGATTTATTCAGTGATAGAAGCAAAGAGAAAGTTTTGAATTCTTGGTAAATTAGTAAACTGTATAACTCTTGAATGCATTGCCACTTCTTTGTGATCTCCATGCAATCCTGCATGCAAGAAAAATTCTAGGATCTTTTCCATCTCTAGCACATTTTGATCTGCTTCTTTAACTAGAACATTTTTGTTCTAGTTGCAGAGTCCAAAACATCCAGTTATGGTTGTTAGATGTATTTTTGTAGTATTTTAGATGGCTCATATGAAATATAAGCATGCTGAGATGAATGTCTTGGTATTATAGGATTATATCAGGCTGTAAGATTTACAGAACTGGCCATTTATCAGAGTATAGTTTCTATTTTGTGTTTGGAATATAAAAGAGTATAGTTTTTATTTTGTGTTTGGAATATATACTTTGGCTTGAAGAGCCAAAGTATGTGAAATAATAGTCTAGTCTAGTCAGTCTCCCTTCCTCCCTCTCCCTCTCTCTCACACACACAGGACAAATCCATCTTTAAAAAAATTTCCAGTGAATTTAGCAGAGTAATATTCTACATAATTTTCAGTGTCTTTAATTTATGAAGACAGAAGAATTTTCCAGCTTTCAAACCAGCACTAGTTTGACCTTTCAGTTACTGTGAGCTCAGCAAAAGATTGCTGATTAATTTTGCTACTAAAATGGTAGCTGGAGTGTTCATTCCTTTTTTAATAAATAGATCCATTTTAATACTGCTGCTGACTTAGATATAATAAAATGTTCTTTGCATTTAGCTTCCACTGTATTAATAATTGCATCTGTATTAGCAGCTTGCAACAAATGATTTTGGAAGCTAATTTGCATTAAATCAAATACACAGCATCATCTGTTTTATCTTATTTCTGGCACTTTTCAGTCCCATAGGGCAAATCTTCTTATTCATAAGTCTGAACACATGTGTATATGCAACATGTTTTGTAAGACCTTTTTATAAGGACATCTTTATTCTTAACAGTACAAATACAGATAAGTGTGAAAACTAAAGTATATTTAGAAGAGATTTAGAATTTGTACTGTTTTCTCCCAGATAAAGTTCTGTATCGAGTTATAAAAATTTACAAAATATTATTTTACATTATTGCCACCTATTTGTACAGCTACTTGAGAAATCATACGGGATAATAAAGCATTCCTTATCTGAGACTGGATGAAGAAATGATTCTTAGTAAACAACAAATAATTCAAATCCTAAATGATTGGTAGCAAAGTATGAAAAATTCAATTTCTATATGTTACAAAACATAACTTGATATGCTTGATTATTTATTTAAATCTGTAACACCTTTATTATTTTTGTAAGTAACTCAAGGCAGCAATCGTACCTAATATTGCTTCCTCCTCCTTTTTGCCTCACAAAAACATCTTGTTAGACAGGTTGAGCTGAGTGACTGACCCAAAGTTATTATATTTCAGAATCTCACCTGATATAGGACAACCTTTAGAAATATTGCTTGTGATCAATTGAAGTTTTACTATTCAAATGTGTATTTAGGTCACTAAGTCTATGTGTGTGTGTACACATTGTCACTTAGTACGCATTGTACTCACTTTTGTTGCCAGCAGTTTAGACATTAATGGCTGTGTGTTGCGTTATTTTGAGGGGATAGCATATTTACACTGTTATACAAGCTGTATACTCACTACTTTACATTGTAGCCAAGTGTCATTTCTTCAGTGTTGTCACATGAAAAATATACTTAAATATTATTTAGGATGGCTGCATGCCAACTCATATTTATTTACTCTCCATAGGAAGCTTGCATAAACAATATAGTGTGTAGTAGACATTATCTTGCAGCATCTGTTAATAATTCCTTTAAAAGCCCTTTGGAAATACTGGAAATTAAATCTGACACTTTTTGCACTTTCCTGTAGCTTGTGTGAACAGCATTCACACACACTACAGTATTAGTATGATTAGTGAATGTTTGATTACTTAATCTTTTAATGCTACAATACAAAATATATCTTGAGGTAATGGGCATTTTTCTGATGAATATGTAACATGTGTTACTGCAATTTACATATGTCCTAATCATTTTTTTTTACAAACCTTAAAGCCATCCTAATTAAATTACCATTTAAAATCCATGTAAGAAAGAAATCAAATGAGACAAACCCTTATTTGATCAGAATAATTTTGTGATAATGTATAGTACTCACAAGAGGTTTTTTAAGGCACATCTTTCAGATGTATAGAACAACAAGCAGTAGAGTAATTATAAAATTGTACTGCATTTTAAAAGGAATTTTAAATAAAATTCAACAAAAAATTAAAACATTGGTACACTTTTCCCCAAAAAACTTTTTCATAGCTTTTCTTCCAAGAAACAGCTTTTCTATTTTATGGTTCTACAAACTAACCACTGTCTTTGGTTTTTCTGTTTATAAAAGTCTTTGTTTGTAACTTGGATTTCAAATTCATTACTGCAGTCAAGTAGTTCAGAGCCTGGTGCAGGAGATAAAACCTTTGCAAATGAAGAGAGAATCCATTTTCCGTATACCTCAGGCCACATAAAATTGATTGCAGTAATAAAATGACAGCACCTTGTAATATACTGACGGCTTTTTAATTTGAAAACTAGCTTGTCTGATTCAAAGCTTGTTTAAAGCTAATTTATGGCTTGTGTAATTTTCAGCTGAATCCTGAGTAGAGGATGATATATGAAAACTGATAGTTAACATAATATATTCAAATGATTGTTACAGAAAGATATTTTCTTTATTTTTTTCAAGTAGCAAGTTTTTCAGTATGTGTTTAATGTTTAAATTAAACATTAGCATCTGTATGGAATACTAGAACCACCTTTCTTTAAAAGAATTATAGTAAATATCAAGAATTATTAAAGCTACAGAGGAGTAGAAATAGATTTGTTGAATCTTCATGCATAAAAATTTGAGGTAAGAGGGAGGAAGTAAAGGGGAACGGCAAAATTGTCCCAGTCCTTTCCTGTTCAGTCTATATTGTGCAGTTCATATCCCAAATCTGCACTGCTTTCAACCCTGTTTTTATAAAAATGTTGTTTTTTCTTCCACTGGAATATTATTAAAAAGCCTTTGTAAATCTTGAATATGGCCCTCAGGATGTGAAACTTCCCTTTCTCTTTCCCTTTCCCTTTTCTTTCTTGTAACAATAGAGCTGAGCCATGCCCAATTGTGCACTTTTAATTATTGAAGATATTTAAGAATTAAAGATTGAATTGCTTAGTTCACATTGTTTAAAATATTTGAGCATATGTTCAGAAAGCCTGATCAGAGCCTACAATCAAGGAGATGAGCTAACAGTAGCATTTCTGATCATTTCAAGGAACTGATTTCAACCAACCAACATATAAGCTTTGTGCTGATTTGTATTTTTTAATTTTTTTTTTAATTGCCAGAGCAGTGCTGCAAGATATGCTCAGTTGCCAGTTGACTCAACAAAATAAGAGTAATTTCTTTCCAGGAATTATTGCTTTGTCCCCAGAAAAGCTAGAGAGATATATCCTTTGAATAGAAAGAAATAATATTCATAAAGACTTTATGAATAAGTTGAATTTTGTGTAGGTTTATTTCACAGATGAGATTTTGTTTCATTAGCTCGGAACAGAATTATTATCCCAATGAGAGATATGCCATGAGGAATGGAAAAATCTTACATTTTTCAGTGATTTGCATGTCCTTAAATATATGCTGATAGGGTGTTAGCAAGAAATATGTACATCAGTTCCTGGAGATCCCCAAGCAACAGAAAAGATAACCCTATGTAAAGAAATGTGAAAGGGCTATTGTGCATGATTCATTATGTTTGCAAAGTAATTGGTCGACCAAACTATTATCTTAAAACTTACTCCCATTTAAGGATTTTTTTAAAGGAAATATTGTAATTAATTTTTCTATATAGAAGAAATGTTAAACATTAGAAGCACATACTTTACATTCTTTGCAGGGGTATCTAATATAACTTGATAATGATCATTGCAACAGGCAAGAGTAGCTTAGGCAAAGATTAATATATTTGTTCAATTTTTTATATAGATTAATGAATTCCGTTTTAAAGCTTATAGAAGAAGCAGAGTTGTTTTGAATTCTTATCATAAGTACAATGGAAGTTTAAACAGAGGAGGTTAATTAGTTACAAAATAAAATACAAAATATGCTGAGCTATTCCTTATTATTTTGATATTCTGCTACACCTACTTCTATCTAATTTTCTTTTCCTAAAACATAACCTAAACTTGAATAGTTTTGGATATAGATTACCATATGAAAGAAAATTTATGTTGAAACCAACATTGAGTTATTTTTATCAGACTCCTTCCAAAAAAATAGATGAAGTCAGATACCTGAAGTTAAGGTATGCATGAAATGGAAAAACTAGTTTTGATCTTCGAGCAATGTTCCTTACCAGAAGATTATTTTGGAATGATTCTGGAAAATTGTAATCCAAAGGAATAAAAATGAGTTGTGAATCGCAAAAACTTGAAATTTTTCTTAAAGTGTTACAATATTAGGAAATATTTGGAAAGTAGATATGAGTCCATTACTCCCTTGCTTTTTTGCTTCAATATTGCATAAATATTTGATGTAGCAATCCAAGTTGCCTGCCTGCTACCTCTCCACCAATTTACAGACAAATTGACACAAAACAGTTCTATTCCTCTTCATATTCTGTGTCACTAAAAGAGCAAATTTCCCAGGACCTTCCAGCTTCATTGTGGTATATAGAATCTTGAAATCCAAAAGGAGATAATGCTAGACACAACTATCCTGGACAATTTTTGCCTGGAATCCAACCTTCCCTTTTTAAGGAAGATTTTTGATAACGTGATTATAGAGAAGCTTCAGGGGATCCTGAATAAAATGGATTATCTGGATACTTTTCAGTTAGATTTCAGGAATGGATATAGAACTGAAATAACATTGGTCATGATTTCAGATGGCCTCTGGTAGACGTGGGATGGAAGGAATGCATCCATCTTTGCTCTACTTGACCTTCGATAGCATCGACCATGGTATTGTTCTAGGACAGCTGCACAGGGTAGGTAGAATGTATTTTGTTGATTTTTCCTGTTTTCTTCATGACAAGTAGAAGTAATAGTATTGTTGGGAGCAAAAGTTCCTACTTTGTGTAATGCCGTAGAGTTTCTTAATTTCTCTGCTTCTGTTTAATAGCTATATGAAGTGGGTTAGCAAGGTCATCTGTAACCATGGGGTGAGTATGCTATGATACCCAACTATATAACTCCCTGGTAAAGTAAGCAATGCTGTTGATGTCATTTACTTGATGCCTCACGACTATAGGAAAAAAAATGCTGTCTCAGTCTTCCTGGTGTTGGACAGTACTTGCCAAATTGCAATTTTATGGCTTTTTGTGATTAGCCATTACCATGATGCTTTCAATTCTAAATCAATGGCCCACTGTTTGAGATCAGATAGTGCATGTTCATAGCACTACCTGATCTCAAACAGTGGGCCATTGATTTAGAATTGAAAGCAGATTTACCAGTTTGATATATAAACATCTTCCTAAATTATTCTGCATCTCTTCTTCAATCAGTTATTTTAGTCACATAACAATTCCAAAATTTAGGACATTATTTTTCACCAGACTCAATTACTCCCAATAAAAATTACTTAAGGGAGATCCTGAAGGATTCCCTTTGAACAGAGAATATTTTCACAGTCGAGCAGTGTATGTTATTTTGTATTGTCACCTCTATGCTAATGCTCAGAAGGAATTACCTCTATTCATTACTAAATATCTTGATCATCCCAACATGTTTTATCTTAAGTAGTTATTAGCAGATCAGTCTGATTTTATTTCTTGGACTATAGCTTAATAATTTTGTAATGTGTACAGAATGTCATAGTATTCATTTTAATCCTTTTTATATATTTTAGAACTTTTTTTTAATGTTTATCCTAAATAATGTTTGTTGTCTTTTTTTTAAATTTCTCAAATAGCCACCATTTCTGACAGCACAAAAAGGTCATTTTGTCTTATTTGATCACAGATAGCTCATATTAATGCTGATCTGATGCTATGAGTATAGATAAGTGGTCACCAACTGGTGGTCCATGAGAAAATATTGGTGGTCCGCAGAAAATTATTTGCATTTTTAATATTGCACTAAATCAGGGGTCTTCAAACTACAGCCCCTGGAATGAACACCTGCAATGAATGTTTGTGTTGCTGCAGAGAGTCTCCCCCTTCGAGGTCTTTTTGTGTGGGTCAGAGGGGGACAGAAATTCCGATTTAGGGCCTGCTTCAGCCTCCTGGTGTGGGCTTTGGCCGAAGGTTGGAGGGAAGTGCCGCTGGTGGTAAAGAGCCAGAGGGCCTCGTTTCAGTGGGACTGCATCATGGCCTGGAACTGGCTAACCATCTCAGCCCGTTGAGCCTCCAGGCGCCGGTACCTGGCCTTGCACTTATGCAAGTCTTTCCTCTGCTTGGAAAGCCTATGCTTGTAGTCCTCAATGAGGTGCTTCTGCTGAGCCTCCTTCTCGGTCAGATCCAATTTGAACTGAGCTGTTTTGCCAACTCTTTCTCATGGTGGCTGCTTAGCTCCAACAACTGTTTCCTGTTGGGGCCCTAAGGAGTTCGGGCGGGGAAGGGAGGAGTTGGCCATGCCCACCCAGTCACATGACCACCTAGCCATGCCCACCCAGCAGTTCATTAGGCAGATCATATTAATGATCCATACGATTTAAAATTATGAATTTGGTGGTCCCTGAGGTGCGAAAGGTTGGTGACCCCTGGTATAGATGGTTTGAAAATGGTTTGAAAATCAAATATTACAATAATATTAGTTCTTACAGAGTTTTTCTAAATATATTTATCCAGGTAGATCATAGAGTTGTGATGAAAAGTCTGCTTGATAATCCAGTTTACTAATAATATTGCCTTACATAATTGAACATTCACCTTCTGAAGAATAAGAATACACAGTAAAAATTTTCTATAGACTAAGGATTATTTTATAGCTTATAAAAGACTACTAAATTGAATTAGGGCCATTCTCTACTAGTTATGTACAGCTGCTTCTTGTAACACCCACCTGTTACCATTCTCTTTACTGCTTTATCAGAACAATGATTTTTGGTTGATTTTAGGAAGGTGTTGTAAATTATTAGTATGGATTCTACCATAGGAAAAAGCTAATTCATTCAGTGGAGAAATTATATATCAAAAGAGAAGGAAAAATAGCAATAATCAGCATCATTGCTAACTGGAAATTCTGTATCTTGAATCAAACCAGAAACATGTTCTCTTTGGTTTCTATTTTTTTCTTTAACACAAGTATTTAAAAAAAGAATATAATCCCACATTTATGTTTTTACATCATTGCTTTTTTGGAAGCAAAATTATGGGTCATAGAGCTACGTTGCTGTCTACTGAGAACTGTATATGTTGATTTTTATACACCTGTAAAAGTGGCACCATATTTTTTGGAGTATAAGACGCACCCCCCCCAAAGTGGTTGAAAATTTCGGTACTTCTTATAGACTGAATATGGACCGGTTTTTGGGCTCCTGAGCCCTCTGTGCGTCCCATTTTTGCCTTCCCCAGCCCACAGAAGGACTCTCCACTGCTCCGCTGGCCCATTTTTTTCCAAAAACGGGCACATTTTTGGGCTCCCAAACCCTCTGCATATCATGTTTTTGCCTTCCCCAGCGTGCAGAAGCACTCTGCAGTACTCCGCATGGCCCACTTTTGCCAAAAACTGGCCCATTTTTGGGCTCCTGAACTCTCCATGGGTCACATTTTTGCTCTCCCCAGCCTCCACTGCACTCTGCACTGCTCCACATAGCCCATTTTTGGGCTCCCAAACCCTCTACACATTGCATTTTTCCCTCCCCAGCCCCCAGAAGCACTCTGCAGGCCAAAAATGGGTGCATTATGGGGGAAAACAGGATGCGTAGAGGGTTCGGGAGGCCAAAAATGGTTTTTGGTCTGCAAACTGCATCTGGGTGCCAGGGAGGGCAAAAACACGATGCACAGAGGCCAAAAGCTATTTTTTTTCTTGTCTTTTTCCTCTAAATCTAGGTGCGTTTTATAATCTGGTGCATTTTATAGTCCGAAAAATACGTTAATATATGGTAGTACTGTTTCTACTATTGTTTGATGCTACTCCATATGTATTGTGTTATTTATGTTGAGTAATATAGTTATTGAGTGAACTGTATTTAATGTAACTTGAAAACTAGATTGAAAATAAGAAAATAAAACACTTTCCAGCCCATATTCTTTTTTTAATAGCAAAGAAGCAATTTTTAAAAGTAGAGTTGTTCCTTGTGTACATTATCTCAATCAACCTCAATTTTTTTCTTTGAAAAATGAAATGTATAAAACAATTATAGAGTTAAGCACACTTTATCTTTTCTTAATATTTATCTAATTCCTTTCTCTGTCATTAATTTCCAAACTTACTTTATAAGAATAAGTAATACAACATCTAATAAGTAATTATAAGAATAAGTAATACAACATCTGATGGTAGACAAACATTGTGAGGTATGGTTCTTCTAGGAAATTCATAACTTTTATATCTGACAATATTTATATTTGACGAATGGGAGAAGACACAAGAGGATCCACTATCCCAGGCCACCCCAATGATGCCCTTAAAGTGATGTCCCAGTGCCTGGAGGCCGTGCGGGCCTGGATGGGGAGAAACAGGCTCCAACTCAACCCCTCCAAGACCGAGTGGCTGTGGCTTCCGGCGTCCCGATATAGCCAGCTGACGCCATCGCTGGCTATTGGGGGCGAATCACTCGCCCCCACGGAGAGGGCTCGTAACTTGGGCATCCTCCTGGACGCACGGCTGTCGTTAGAAGATCATTTGGCGGCCGTGGCCAGGGGGGCTTTTTATCAGGTCCGCCTGATACGCCAGTTGCGCCCCTTTCTAGATCGGGACTCCCTACGCACAGTCACTCAGGCACTCGTCACTTCCCGCCTGGACTACTGCAACGCTGTCTACATGGGGCTCCCCCTGGGGTGCACCCGGAGGCTCCAGCTGGTCCAGAACGCGGCCGCGCGGGGGATTTTGGGGGCGACGAGGCGCTCCCACGTGACACCTCTCCTGCGCGAGCTGCACTGGCTCCCGGTGGTCTTCCGGGTGCGCTTCAAGGTGTTGGTGACCACCTTTAAAGTGCTCCATGGCTTAGGGCCGGGGTACTTACGAGACCGCCTTCTGCCACCAATAGCCTCCCACCGGCCAGTACGCTCCCACAGAGTGGGCCTCCTCAGGGTGCCGTCCGCCAGACAATGTCGGCTGGAGACCCCCAGGGGGAGAGCCTTCTCTGTGGCGGCGCCTGCCCTCTGGAACAACCTCCCCCCAGAGCTACGTACAATAACAGACCTCCGGATTTTTCGTCGGGCCCTAAAAACCCATTTATTTCAACTAGCTGGGCTGGCTTGAGTCAAATTTTAAACGGATTTTAAATTGGAATGTTTTAATTATGGCCAAAATTATTTAATTATTTTAAACAGTTTTTAGATTTTGTATGTTTTGTATGTATGTCTTGTTTTTACTTTGGCTGTTCACCGCCCTGAGTCCTACATTGGAGAAGGGCGGTATAGAAATTTAAACAAATAAATAAATAAATAAATATCTTGTTTTGTATTCACCAGTAGAGAAGAATTAGTCAAGAAAATGGAAGTACCAGGTACAATGAGGTGAAATACCCAGTAGTTAAATATTCATGATTGTCATAGATAATTGGTCTTTTAAAATGCATTTGATACATGCAGAGCAATAATAAATAGAATTCCACAGTGGAAAAAATAAATGGAAAAAGTAGCCCAGAATTGGTGGAATTTCTAAAAAGAAGAGATACTTAAAATAAAATAGCAAATAATTTTAATAAGGCCAAAAAGGGAAGAGAACAAAATGCACTGCACAAAAAGCATTCTGAAAATCTGATTTAAAAAAAAGAAAACAAGAAAGAGGTGAAGGAAAAGTATGTGTCACTAAAGAATAGTACTGACAGGTGGCACTGTATCAAAAAGTTAAAGCTCAGATTGAGCTGAAATTGGAG